AAAAAAAAATGGTGCAATCAGACCTATGTCATAAAAGGACTACGTTGCTCTGTGGTGAATAGATTGCCGGGGGAAATGGGCAGAGGTAGAGGCCACAACAGAGACTACTCTTCTGGTTTGGTCAAGAGGTGGTGGTTTGGACTACAGAGATTATAGTGGAAGTGGTAGGAAGGGATTAGATCCCAGATATAGTTTACGTATGAAATAATAAGGATTTGGTGATGGGTTGGTTGTAGGTGTGAGAAATCAAAATGCCCCGATTTTTTTTCCCCTGTACCATTTATTAAGATGGGGCTGCTTTAATTTCCCCCTATTCACCCTGTTTGTGAGGGAAGTTAACTGGGTTGGTTGTAGGGCTGTGGGAATAGCCAAACACAGGGTACCCAAGATTGAATAGATGAGATTGACAGCAGCTAATTAATCACATATACTTACCACCTGGGAGAGGATGCAGCACTCTATGCAGGGCCAATAGGGTCACATTCGGGAACCGAGAACAACCAGGGACAGGGAGGCAGGCTTTGTATCAGAGGGATGGAGCAGCCCCTGGTTCCTGCACGAGGGTGTGATTGGCTTATTTGAATAATCCCATGGGCAGACAGGAACTCCTCTGGTCCTCTTAATAAGGTTAGGGGACCCTATCCATCCGAGCAGAGTGGGGAGGGGAAGTCAAAGTTAGGCCACTTTGGGGCCCTCCCCGTTTCACCAGATGTCAAAGCAGCACAAGATAATCAGGCCTTAATTTTAGGCTGTACACCACAGGGGAACTCAAAAGAGTGGTATTGGGAAATCAGTGTTATTTGGGGCATATTGAGTTTGAGATGCCTGTTAGACATTGGAGAGACGTTGAAGTCTGAAGTTGGAGGGGCAGGGGTCTGGGGTAAGGTAAATGTAGGAAACATCAGAATATAAGTACTATTTAAAAACCGTGAGGCCAGATGGGATCTCCTAGAGAGTTTGTACAGATAGAAGAGAGGTCTCCATGGTTGCGGTTTGTGCTTCAGCAGCACATGCCCTTCTACTCCTGGATTGCAGAGGGTTTTTTTCAATCAGGAATTAATGTTGGTTTGTTTTTGTTTTTGTTCTTTTGTTTTTTCAGATGCTTTTCTTGCATCTATGAGATGATGGAATGTTTTTTCTTTTTTAGCCAGTTAATATGGCTTTCATACTATGGTTAATAGGAAATTCAATTGAGTTTCAAATGTTAAACTGGCCTTGCATTCCTAGGATAAACCCCACTTGGTCATGATCTATCATCCTTTTCACATATTGTTGAATGTGATTTGCTGAAATATTAAGAATTTTTGCATCCATGTTCATAAGAAATGTTGTTCTGTATCTTTCTTTTACTCCATTACCACAAGGAAGATTTGTGGACATTTCAGTAAAGATAATCCAATTAATACCATGTTGGCCTCTTGTTCTTCAGCTTGCTACCTCATGTCCCAGAATGGATGCTACGATTCCACACAAGCAAATCCTGGTAGAAGGAAGGAACTGTGACTAAACACTTTCTCAAGAGTGTCTTTGGTGAGAAAACCCTTTCTAGAAGCCCCCTGGTAGAGTTTCCTTTACATTCCATCGGCCAGAACTGCACCAGGGGAACCATAAAGGGGAATAGGATTACCATGACTGCTTTAGATTTTCATGATGCATTCCTACCTTCCCTAGGACTAAGGGTCTTTCTCTAATATTTGAGCAAAATTGGGGTACTATTAGGGAAAGGCGGGGGGACTGTCTGTTGATAGGCAATAAGCAATGTCTGCACATGGGGTCTTTCCTCTCTAGTTCAAAGTCTCAACATCTCATATGTGCAAAATATGATGCTATGGTATTATGGGTAAAACAATTCCTAACATCTATTGATCATCTGCCGCCAGGGCATTCTGTTAGAAACTTTCTAACTATTAGCATCCGGATTTGTTCTAGTCTTATGGAATGCCCTAATAAATGCTTGCATAATGTCTATTATGTGCCAGACATTTTTCTCAGTGCTTCATATATTTTATTCATGTATATTAACAATGGAGTTAAATTAATAAATGAGTTATTAATTTATCCTCACAATAACCACATGATGTAGGTACTATTATTCCATTTTACAGATGGAACCTGAGACACAGGGGGAGTTGAATAACTTGCCCAAAGTCACACAGCTAGTCTGGAATAAACTGCTGCACCACACTATCTCTCCCGAGACTTAATCAGCCTTTGCTCCCAAGGAGCTTACAATATTAGAAGAGTCAAAAAAAATTTTTTTAGGGCACCTGGGTGGCTCAGTTGGTTAAGCTACTGCTTTTGGCTCAGGTCATGATCCCAGAGTCCTGGGACCGAGTGCCACATCGGGCTCCTGGCTCAGCGGGGAGCCTGCTTCTCCCTCTGACCCTCTCCCCTCTCAGTTTACGTATGAAATAATAAGGATTTGGTGATAAATAAATAAATAAATAAAAATAAAAAAATAAAACTATGCCCAGAATCTCTTCCTGTATGCTATTGTTTGCTTTGAGCATGGTAAAAAGAAGCAGCCCATCTGGAATGGAAGGACTTCTGGGCAAGGAATTGTGAGTCCTGGCTCCAGTACCATCTGTTACCCTGGTGTGGTAGCTAACCCCTGGATGGTGCTAGCATTTTTTCTTCTGTAAAAATAAGTTGTTTTGCCAAATTGTTCCAAGTTTCCTTCCAACTCTGAGTACTGTTTTAAGCCTAACCATATTTATTTGCTAGTTTGGGGGATGTTTCAGGGATAGATGCATACATTTTAAATTGTCATTTTAAGATAACTTCTTCCTTTTTCTTCCCTTTCTAGCTATTGTAAACATGTGACAACCTATGAAGAATCTAATTTTTCGCTGAGTTATCAGTTCATAATAAATCTCTTCTCCTTCCTGCTGAGAATAAAGACCTCTTCCCTCCATGAAGAAGTGAGCTTAATTGAAAAGAGACTTTTTAAAACAAAATATAGTAAAACGAAAAAGAAATCAAGATCCAGGAAAGGGAGAAAATACTGAGAAAAATGAAATAGAAACTTCCTTGGGAAAATATTTTAATAGTGATAATAATGTCAAATTATAATATTCCAGAGAATTATGGGAAATAGAATTTGATTATATATCCACACATACATAGATACATATATATGTATCAAATGTGCTTATAAAAATGTGTATTGGAAAATAAGTGAATTGTGTTTGAATTTATTTTTTAAATTATGAATATTCTTTGAGAAGATTAAACCGTAAGTTTTATAAATGGTATCCAGAAATTTGTATTCATTGTATTTTAAAGCTAAATTTGCCTTTTTTTTTTTTAGGCTAAATTTGCTTTTAAACTAGATCACTTCCTTATTCTTTATGCCCCAAAGGAAATCCCAGATGGATCAAAGATCTAAACAGCATAATCTTTTACATATACATATATTACAGTACTAGAAGAAAACAAGTATGGCTGCTTTGATGATCTTGGAACAGGGAACGACTTTCCAAACATTCCCCAAAACCAGAAGCCAAAAGGGAAAAATTGGTAATGTGACTGCAAAGTCACAGGCAAATAGCAAGTAGGAAAATATATTTGTAGCATATGACAGACAAAGGAATAATTTCTTTAATGTATCAATAGCTCTTGCAAAGCAATAGGAAAAAGACAGGCTGAGCAAGGAATATGAGAAGATAGCTTTCTGGAAAAAAGAAATACAAAGGCCAACCCAAAAAAAATGATATAAATTAAAATAGGTTACCGAAGATATATAAAGGTTTATAATATCTGGTGAGGATACTGGAAAATCAGGCATTCTTGTTCAGTTTATTCATGCAACAAACACAGAACAACTGTGTTCCAGACATATTCTAGGCACTGGAGATACAGCAGTAAACAAGGTCCCTGCCTTTAAGGATCTTCTGTTCTAATAGGGTGGGGGCAGATAGTCAACAAATATACAATAGTGGGGCTGATGAGGTGCAATGAAGAAAAAGCAAGGTAAGGGTGATAAGGTGGGCCTTTTTATAAAAAGTGATTGAGGAAGGCCCCTGGGAGGTGACCTTGAGCAGAGATCAACCGGTATGGAGCAAGCCATGTTGCTTTCCAGGGGAAGGTTATTCCAAGCAGAGGAAACAGGCAAAGGCTCTGAGGCAAGAGTATGCTTGATGGAGTCAAGGAATAGCAAGTTGTTCAGGGCACCTGGAGTGTTAGGGTTGTAGGGGAGAGTAGTAACACAGGAAATGGAAGAATTTGCATTTGGGGCCATGGTAAGAACTTTGGCTTTTGTCCCAAGGGTGTCATGGGAAGCAATTAGAAAATTTTGAGCAAAAGAATGGTGTGATCTGGGGCACCTGGGTGGCTCAGTCGGTTAAGCATCTGCCTTCAGCTCAGGTCATGATCCCAGGGTGCTGGGATCGAGCCCCACATCGGGCTCCCTGCTCAGCAGAGAGCCTGCTTCTCCCACTCCCTCTGCTGTGTTCTCTCTCTCT